ACTAAGTAGGATAAGGAAGTTAAAAGTGTGGTAAAGAAGTGGAAATTATCACAGTTGCTCTGTAATGATGACTCAGTACTTTTTGAAGATTCTGAAGTCAAGTTTCATGTAAAGAAGGAAATTAAAAAATGAACCTAGAAAAGAGTAATGTGATGAGGGTAACAGAAGTCTGGGCAGTGATAGACTGAACATCAGATTGGAGGAAGGGAGCATGGAGGAAGTGAACTTCAAGCATAACTAGTTGTTTAAAAAAAAATTCTGTAGTGATTTCTAACAACTGGCTAACACAGTTTACCTGGAGTTTACCTGGAGAGGGTTTCGGGGGTCAATGCCCCTGCGGCTCAGTCTGAGACCAGGCCTCATGGTGGATCAGGGTCTGATCAACCAGGCTGTTACTACTGGCCGCACGCAAGCTGACGTACAAGCCACAGCCTGGTTGGTCAGGTACTGATTTTAGGTGCCTGTCCAGTGCCTTCTTAAAGACAGACAGGGGTCTATTGGTAATCCCCTTATGTATGCTGGGAGGCAGTTGAACAGTTTTGGACCCTGGACACTTATTGTGTTCTCTCTCAATGTACTTGTTGCACCCCTGCTTTTCATTGGGGGAATGTTGCATCTCCTGTCGAGTCTTTTGCTTTCATAGGGAGTGATTTTCGTACGTAGGTTTGGTACCAATCCCTCCAGGACCTTCCAATTGTATATTATCATGTATCTCTCTTGCCTGCATTCCAGGGAATACAGATCAAGGATCTTCAACTGTTCCCAGTAATTTAGGTGCCTTATCGTGCTTATATGTGCCATGAAAGTTATTTGTACACTCTCCAGGTCTGCAATGTTGCCAGCCTTGGAGGGGGCCATTAGTGTACAGCAGTATTCCAGCCTAGAGAGCACAAGCAATTTGAAGAGAATCATCATGGGCTTAGCATCCCTAGTTGTGAAGGTTCTCATTATCCATCCTACCATTTTCCTAGCAGATGAGGTAGATACATTGTTGTGGTCTTTGAAGGCGAGGTCCTCTGACATTATCACTCCCAGGTCCTTCACACTACTTTTCCACTCTATTGTATCGTTAGAATTTGTCATATGCCCTGATACATTTTTAATTTCCTCAAGTTTCCCTTATCTGAGTAGTTGAAATTTCTCCTCCCAGTTTTTTCCTGCTAGACAAGCAGAAGTATTAGCAAACCTACCCTGATGTTTTGTCAGCCCCAGGAATGGCCAGGATCAAACTGAGGACCTTGCAATTATGAATCAATTATAATTATTATAATCTAGGGTAAGCACTTAAAATATATGGGCCATACAGCACATGTGAAGTGAGAGGTAATCATGTTTACTACTCCAAGAGAAGTAAAGCTTTACTTCTTGAATCAAGAGCAGTTCACCAGCATCACAGTACTCTCCCCCCCCCCCACAACCCTTGAGCAGGTTGTGAGTCAATCTCTCTCACTTTTAAAAAGTCAAGACTGATGGACTGAACACATCAACTCCTGGCTGAGGGACTGATTACCTCACACTTATTCTCATCTTACACCATTTCCATCAATCTTAGTTATGGATTTGTCTCTGTAGATGTCTTTCTTTTTCATTATATTGTCAAATGCTCCAAACTTAAGAACACTTGTATCTTGACCTGTGGAATTCACAGGGACTACAGCAAGACCCTGAACACAGATGAATTAGATCAACATGTATTCGATGGGTGAAGAGGCCATAGCTTTCAACTTCAGGTTCTCAAAGACATCTTCAAAATCTTCTAACTTGTCATTTTAGAATTAAGACCCATTTCAGGATGCAGTTCCTGGCCAATCAGTCCCCTTAAGGGACAAATTGGATCTGTGCTCCAATTCCTTAAATTAAGCCTGAATGCTTTCCATCCCTTCCCCTACAGGCACTGTATAATCCCTATGGGTTTAGTGCTCCCCATGATGATGAATCAACCTTCATGCTTGTGTGCAACTAGTTAATGGTCCAAATCAGACTGAAATATTTTAAATTTATTTAGGCACAGGTACATGAGTAGAATTATTATACATAGAGTAAATTACCTAGGATTCCCCCAAAAAATCAAAGTGACTACTACTACTACTAATAATAATAATGATCTTTATTTCTAAAAGTACATGTACAAGGTACACAGACCTAGCTGGCATCAATGACATACTGTATATAAAAAACCCCTTGTCATGCAAAGCAATTCGGGCAAATTAGGTCAATTTTCTCCCCAGGATGCAACCCACACCAGTCAACTAACACCCAGGTACCCATTTTACTAATAGGTAAACAACAGGTGTCTTAAGAAATATGTTCTAATGGTGGCCGAAACTCGTGCTTCACACCCTGAGGGTCCGGGTTTGATTCCCGGCGAGGGTTGAAATATTGGGTGTGTTTCCGTACACCGGTTGTTCATGTTCACCCATCAGTAAAAATGGATACCCGGGTGTTAGTTGATTGATGTGGGTCACATCCTGGGACAAAAGTGACCTAATTGGCCCGAAATGCCCTGCATAATAAGCGGCTTTCTATATAGTAGTATGTCATTGCTGTCAGCTAGGACTGTATACCTTGTACAATATACTTGTAGAAATAAAGATATTATTATTATTATTATTATTTATTTATTTATTTATTTATTTATTTTGTCTTTGCAAACAGTACATTGAGATTTTATATTTACAATAGTGGGTTGCAATGCAAAGAGAGCCTCTATCATGCCTAGGCATTATGGGCCAACTTAGCATTATTGGCTTACAGTCTACTTAATACTAAGGAGTATATCATAGTTGTACAGCAGGATAGTAATTATTTCATAGTTGTACAGTAGAATATTAATTATGAATGAATCAAAATTTGTATAATACAAAGATATATTTATATTCGAAAATACTTTTTGTGAAAACAATGATTTAATTATATTCCTGTCAACAATGGATAAAAGGTTCAATGTGATTGTTTCAGTTATGATGTGGGAGTACATAGGTGAGTAAATGTGTACTGAGTATTTAGCATTTAGTCTAGGGTGATTAAGTGGCTTTTGAGAAGAGTCTTAAATTGATTTTCAGACTGGGTTACTTTAATATCTTTTGGTAATGAATTCCATATTTTGGGGCCCTTTATGTGCATAGAGTTTTTACACAGTGTGATATTGACACAAGGTATATCAAAAAGAGATCTGTGTCTTGTGTTGTGGTCATGTGTCCTCTTTAGGTTGGTGAGGAGAAGTTTGAGTGGAGGGTTTATATTTGCGTGTATTGTTCTGTGTATGTAGTAGGCACATGAATAAGTATGGATGTTCTTAGTGGTGAGCAGATCCAGACTTGAAAATTGGTCGAGTATGCTGGCGAGAGTGGGAATTTGTTATCATTCTTACTGCTGTCTTTTGCTGGGTTATTAGGGGTTTTAGTAAGTAAGTAAGTTTATTCAGGTATACACAATTACAGTTACATAGAATTATCATACATAGCAGCACATGTGTAGAGAACCTAGGATAACCCAAAAAAGTCAGACAGAGTGACTTATTTCCATTGGGGTCCTTTAGGTGATTGGATGTTGTTGATCCCCATGCACAAATTCCATATGTAAGATAAGGGTATATGAGTGAATGGTATAGTGCCAGGAGAGCTGATTGTGGAACGTAGTACCTTATCTTTGATAGTATGCCTACAGTCTTGGAGATTTTCTTGGTGATTTGTTGTATGTGTGTCCGGAACTTAAGGCTACTGTCAAGGTGGATACCTAGGAATTTTCCTTCTGTGAGTCTTGTGACTGATGATCCATTTATCGTTATGTTAATTGGATCATTTGGAGCTTTGTTTCCAAGCTGAATGAAAAAGGTTTTATCAGTGTTCAAGGTAAGTTTGTTAGTCATCATCCAGGCAGATATTTTCTGTAATTCAGCATTGACTGTGTTTGGGTGAGAAAAGACATATGTAGTGTCATCTGCAAATAATATGGGTTTGAGTAGCTTTGATGCATTCGGTAGATCATTGATGTAGATGAGAAAGGAGTGGTCCAAGGACGCTTCCTTGTGGGACTCCTACGTGATTGGTTGGGTGGAAGGTTTGCATCCATTGCATTCAACCATATTGAGTATAGTTACTAAGGTATGTATATTTTAGGGTGTTGAGGAAGTGGACCTCTGATAACCTAATGCATTAATTTGGGAGTTACGATGGGTGGCCCGGTGGCCTGGTGGCTAAAGCTCCCGCTTTCACACATCGGTAGGGACCGGGTTCGTTCCCGCGTGGTGGAAACATTTCGACAGTTTCCTTCAGTGTTGTTGTTCACCTAGCAGCAAATGGTACCTGGGTGTTAGTTCGACTGTGTTTGGGTCGCATCTGGGGGACATATTAAGGACCCAATGGAAATAAGTTAGATCAGTCCTCGATGACGCAATGACTTTCTTGGGTTATCCTGGGTGGCTAACCCTCCGGGGTTAAAAATCCGAACGAAATCTTATCTTATCTTATCTTATCTTATCTACAGCAGTTCATGGTCGACTGTATCGAAAGCTTTACGTAAATCAATGAAAATGCCCAGCGGGACTTCTTTCTTTCTTTTCGAGCTACGTAGTTATTTGTATATTCCAGTTATTTGCGGGTTATTTGTGTATACCAGTCACAGCACTGTGCCTTTTTATTCTTTATTTACTATGTATATAATTATAGCAGAAATAATATAACCATGAATTATAACATGAGAGTAACCATGTAGTGCGGATATGTGCAGTTGCTGTATTAATATATTGCATTTTATAATTATTAATGACATTTCGATTTTCATTGATATTTTTTAAATATTTGAATTGCCATAAATTTAAAAAAAAAAACTTTTGTTTAGGGATGATTTAGCTAAAGTATGTTGGTTAATAGGATATATCGCATATATATTTATCTACTTAGTTATTTAACACATTCAAAATGTTACATATTATGATATATAACAGAAAGTTTATATATCTAAAAAAAAATGTAAAATCAATATGTATATAAGATGGTGCGGCAAGGTTTGTAAACAGTGTTGGCGGTGGCGGCGGCGGGAGTTATTATTTACCGGGAATATCTGCATCATCCTCCTCACCACTGAAGTATTTCCCTCACCCACTGCACTGCGAGTTGTTCAACATCATGTAGGTTATTTGAGAACCGCTTTGTGCATGTAAATTTAAAGAGAATATAGTTTGTTGCAGCTACTGTTTTTCAAACCCTAAGATGCATTTTCCTTAGGTCTAAATGAGAATATTTTTCTTCAGACTTTCCATGAGAGTATATTTTTCCAAACCAGTGATAGCAGTACCTCTTGAAAGAATATTTTCCTCATAAACAGATATTTAGGCCTCAAAATATTTTCCTCTGGCATGTGTTCAATAGGAAACTTTTACTTAGGCTTCCTACATAATATTTAACGTGTACTGTTGTTTTGTATAGTAAATTATGTAGAATTTACCGTATGACCCTTGTGGGGCAATAATTATAATAATAATAATAATATAAAATTTAACCTAGAATAACTCAGCCAAGTAAAAAAAAAATGACATTTCTATTGAGGTTCTTGTGTTACAAAATCAAGAATAGTGTAGCACTGCTGTAGGCCTTCTGGCCCCTTTTAAGCCAGTAGGCCTACCTACACCCACTATATACCCATCTAACCTATATTTAAAGCATCCCAAAGTTCTCACTTCAATGATGCTGCTTAGAGTTGATTCCACTCATCTACAACTCCATTACTGAGCCAGTACTGGAGTTTACCATAGTCCCGATAACCTTTCTAAATCTAAGTTGGTTCAACTTGAATCCATTACTGCAAGTCCTGCCTTGGTTAGATACTTTCAGTACATTTACATTGCTTTTATTCAGTACATTATTTACATTGCTTTTATTAATTTCGATTTTCGATTTGTACCCATCGATATCCCCCTAATTGTATGCCTTTGTAGGGAGTGCAGCAATCAGTGCCTTTAGCTTATCTTTCGGTGAGATATTTTATTTTGGTAATTTTTGAAGTAAGGTTCATGTCAGAGTTGTAATAATTTATTCCATAAAATGTTAAGCATTTGGTCAGTTTTGGCAGAAAAATACGTGTTGTGCAAGTGGTGAGAAGCGTAACCAAATTATTGAAACCCAGCATAACCCAGCCGTAAATACCTAACATAGCCCAACTTGGGCATTGGTAGATCTGCAAATGGCACATCTGTATGTTTACTGCGATTGGCCAGGCATGTAACTACTCAATAGTAATCATTGATTGACTCAGAGATGCTGCATTCTACCAAAAATGAAGGTTTTGTTTTTGTATGAGTATAGATAGCTTGCTTAGACAGAAATTTTAACCCCTTTCACTGCCTCAACCCCTTAAATTAAAAGGGCTGGCTGTCATGATTTAAAAAATCTTTCTGAAGGAAATTATGAAAAAAAATATGAAATTTATTGGAAAGATTATGGAATTGAGCAGACACAAAGTTGGTGGTCTGGGCACAATTTATGCATCGGCAGTTTTGCCTACTTTGAATCCTATTTTAAGTTGGTTCCATTGCTCGTTGTGACCAAACTCTTAGCTATTTTTCTGGTGTACCTTCATTTCTATTGATTTGGCATAAGAAACTGGCCATTTAACTTTCTGTCAGAACTACCCTATAAGAAAAGATTTTGTTTGAGTTTTTAACACTGGAGGGTTAGCCACCTAGGATAACCCAAGAAAGTCGATGCATCATTGAAAACTGTCTGTCTTATTTCCATTGGGGTCCCTAACTCTTGTCCCCTTAGGATGCAACCCACACTAGTCAACAGAACAAGTGTAACGACACTTAGCGTGTGAGACCTAGCAAGCCACGGGACACCATATAAAGTGCACAGAAGTTGTCATTTTGGCCAATTTTACACAAAATTCAACAAATTCTAATTTAAAAATAAACCAAAGTAAACACTTTATGCATTCCAACTGCTAAGCAACCTATTCTCTCCATTTTGAACCTGTCATCACAAAAAACTGATGTTTTACCCTGTTTCTGGGATACAATATAAACCAGAATGATTGATCATCATCTAGGCCATCCCAATAATTAAACCCATAAAACAGACTGGGAAGGGTAGGGGATACTTTACCCTTCCTCAAGAAGATTGTGAAAAATTGAATATTTCCTCTGCTTTGAGCCCTTGAAATGTCAAAAACTAAATATTTTTTCTGCTTTTGAGCCCTATTTCAAGTTACAGGGAAACCTCTCATTAACTGACTAATTGGGGGAAGGGGGTGTATGATAATACTGATTACCTGCAACTCTCCAACATATCTCCACTGCCTCCAGTCTCCTCACTGTAGTGTTTAAAACCCTTGCTTCACACCTTACAACAGTGTTGGTACCACTGTTCTCTGGTACAGTCAATTTTTTTTTCACCATGGATATTTTTTTTCTCTACAATTACTTCAATGCATCACCTGCATTTTTCCCTTTGTCAGTTCTGTGGTTCACTTTGTCTCTCATAGAACTATCTGCTGTCAAGTCTGCACCTAAATATCTGGAAAAAAAAACATACGCACGTGCACGCACACACACACACACACACACACACACACACACACACACACACACACACACACACACACACACACACACACACACACACACACACACACACACACACACACACACAGACAGACAGACACAGACAGACAGACAGACAGACAGACAGAACGAGAGAGAGAGAGAGAACGAACGAGAACAGAACAGCATTCCGACATCTTAATAAGGAATCGTTCAGGACCCTGTACACTGTGTATGTTAGGCCCATATTGGAGTATGTGACACCAGTTTGGAACCCACACCTAGCCAAGCACGTAAAGAAACTAGAGAAAGTAGAAAGGTTTGCAACAAGACTAGTCCCAGAGCTAAGAGGTATGTCCTACGAGGAGAGGTTAAGGG